CTTTCCACTTCCTACATTGACTATAGTTCGTAGTATAGACACAAAAGCACGCGTATATATAGTAGTATTTGTGCTACAACTCGAATAAACATGTAGATCCACCAGTATAATGGGTTATACAATACGAGTACATATAATGGGAGTAGATAAAATCTTGTTACTGATTACATTTGAGTCTTCTTAATCTTGTTCAAACAGTGTATAGCTGTTTTTAGTATTGCACAATCCGAAAGTGTTTGGTCAGTAAAGGGAAATCGGACCAGGTCGATCCATGTTTGTGTTTATTGAACAGTGCAATGTTGGGATAGATGGGTTCATGTTGGAGGTACGCGTTGTGTGTACGTTGCTACGATATTTGGCTTGTGTTGTGGCTGATCTGAAGGTAGCGATCAATGGGGATTAAAACGTTAAGATTTCACCTTCAATGGTTTCTACACGATTGTGCAGTGATAGCGGATTATTATCTTTATAGATTATAGACGTATATACGATGGACGCTTTGCTTCATCATATTTCACTGGGCCTTCTGTTCTGTCCTTAAACTACGACTTCAATGACCTCAACCTCAACATCCTCGTCCTCGTCGCTGCCGTAATAGCCCTGTCTCCCCCAGTTGTAGGGGAGAACCCTGACGTCCTGTCAGTGAATGTACCTCTCCTGCTATAGGAGCACCTGCTTCATTTGTGGGCGCTGCTTCTCGATGAGCCGCTGGGCCTGCTCCTGGTCCATACCGTCGATGGAGCAGGCAATTAGCTCCACCATGTTGTGCCCATGCCTGAGTATATGGTGAATGGACTGCAGTGTGAGTCTCATGCAGTTGCTTATGTTGATGCTCCGCAAGCGCTTAAGATTGCGCATAATGTGCCTCACGGTGTCATCTTCTACTTTCATGCAGCTGGCAATACACAGCGTCTCGATGGCCGGAGCGTTGTGTGTCAGCGCCTCGAAGCCCTCGGGGTAGAACAGCGAGCAATAGCCCAGCGAGAGGATGCGCAGCTCTGGCAGAACTAGCGCCTCCTTCAGGACGCGATCCGTCAAGTTCTTGCAGCCGCGTATGTTCAGCTCACGTAGTCCCCGGAGCCGGCTGATGGGGTATGGAAAGTCTGGACAGCCCAAAAAGCCTTTGTCCGTGATCTTGATGCAGTATTCGATGTTGAGTTGACGCAGACCCGTCTGGTACTTGCAGATGAGGGACATGGTGCGGTCGGTCACCGCCTGCCGACAGTTGTCCAGGCTGAGGCGGCGCAGGTTATAGAGTCGCACGAGTAGCTCGCACAGGGACTCCTCGTCGATAAAGCAGACCTCCTCGAGATGCAGCTCCTGGATTACATAGTTGGGCTTGGAGGCAATCCCCTTGAGGAGGGCCACGCCGGTGAGCTCTCGGCAGTAAGCCATGGTCAAGCACTTCAGCTGACCGCTCAGCTGGCGCAGGGCATTGATGCAGGCAGAGTTGAGCTGCACGCAGAACATGAGGTCCAGGGACTTGAGAGTAAACTCCCATTTGGAGGCCACATACAGGAGCAGTTCGTTGGTCAGCGAGAGCATGCCGGTGAGGTCCAGTTGCCGCAACGGAGCCTCTTGCGGCATCGCCCTAAGAATGGAGTCCAGAAGGAGGAGGTGACAGTTGCCTGACAGCTTCAGGACGCCGAGGTTGCTCATGGCCTCGAATGCTAGACACCACGGCAGCGTCTCGACGCTGGGGGAGCAGCTGAAGAATATGTCTATGTACTCCAGCGTCTTAGCATGGTCCCGGAGCACAGCTACCAGGACGTCCTCGTTGTCGTGGGTGAACTCGAACTGCAGGTGCCGCAAGCGCACCTTATTTGTAGGCTTTCTCAGCTGGAGCAGCATGCTCAGCTTCAGCGCCGAGTCCAGACTGACGCCGTCACACTCGAAGGCCTCCAGGTTGATGAACTGCTTCAGGTTGATCCCAAGATTATCGTCAAGCACGGTGGTCGCGGCAATTGTCAACACCTTCAGGTTGGGCATCTTTCCGTTTATGTTGCGAAAGACAGGCGCATGGCTCACCTGTAGATGCCTAACCTCCGGCCCCACCAGCTTCAAGAAGCCGTCCAGCTGCGGGGACTGCTTTAGGTTCCGCAGCTCGATCCGCTCGAAGCTCAGTTTCGAAGGTGCGTTCTCCACATGCTCCCTGATTGCTGCCAGATTGTGCCTTGTCACAATCACCTTGCCCTGTAGCATGAATTTGCGACGGTTGACCAGGTCGCGACAGTGCCAGGACACCATCCGCAGCTGCTTGAGATCGTTGTAGGTCAGATAGGACATGACCTCCAGCCACATCTCGTTGGGCAGCATATCGATGGGAACTTTTTTCTTCCTCACTGCCCTGCGATCCTTAATCTCCGGCGAGAGTGGCGGCGAATCCGTCGAACCCTTGTTTAGTGACAGCCCCAGTAGCGGCATCATTCTGAACTCTATTTTCCTATGTGCCTGCAATGGGAAGAAATATATCTGTTAGGTGCATGTTATAGAAAGGGGTGTTTGACCTGGTAACCTAGGGTGACCATACTGCAGTCGAGGGACCACCCTGGTCTGTACTGCTCACCTGCACTGTTGCCAGGGACTTGCACCGTTTCCAGGGCCCAACCGCAGCACTTTGCCACCCACACTTTGCGCAGCCAGGCGTCCAGTTGGTAGGACTCCCACGTCAGTAGCACTTACCTGAGCGTAGGTGTTGCTCAGCCTCTCCAAGAAGCGCCTCTCGCGACGATGACTGGGTTTTCCACACGTAATAAGACTATTACCCATCCAGTGGCTCTGTCGTTTGTTCAGATTTCGTTGAAAACCGGAAATACACTGTTTTTAGCGCCTCTGCAGAACTGCGCCTTCACTTCGCTATCTATCCCCGAACCTGATTTTCGGTGCCTCCGCACAGAAGTGTTAATTGGAAAATAGTCAAATGGAACTTTTTCCGTTGATTGACAGGGTTTTGCTGTTGTTTTGAATCACTTTTCGTTTGATTTTGCCTTCGAGTTTTTCGACGGCAACCTGCTGCCGTTGTGCACCTTGGAAAATCCAAATGTGTTTTCCAGGCAGCGAACGACGGAAAAACGAACCAAACCACTTGCAGCACAGCTGTGTATCTAATAATGAAAATTTGATTGTCGCTACAGAGATACTTCCAGCACGCATGCTCTCTCCCTCTCGCTCGCTCGCACACGCACCCCAAAAGGGCCAGCGCAGTGTATATTGAATGAAAGGTAAGGGCGGTAGGAACAGCAGGGACCTATGCTGCTGTTATTTCCTCCATTTAACCTTCTGAGGTTTTAAGTCCGTATTAATATTAAATAGGTGTTCCAATTTATTTATGAATTGTAAGCAATTCAGTATATTGCAAAGCAAAATATTTTGAGTCATCACCACATCTCAGCTGAAGCACATTTGGCTGGTAAATAGGCCCTTCAAAGAGTGTTAGGCCAAACCTTTTATTAATACACTATGGACATGCGCACTAAAAATCAACTCTCTTGCTCTTTTGCTGCGAGAGACACTCTTTTTACTGCGTTCTATTTTGTTTATGTTTGCTGCTAGTGACCCACATACAAAAAAATGAAGGCGGCCTTGATGTGAGAGAGGGAGAGCGAGAGAGAATTTGAGAAACTACATATGTACATATGTATGTGCATACAAAGCTGCGCGCGCAGAAACCGAAATTTGTGAACACACAGCTTAAAGCATACAGTGCGTACTTCTTATGTACCTTTGAGAGATCGGGAGCACCGAAATCAACAAAGTCTTGTAGTGGATGCGAGTTGTTCACAGCTTAAATCGTACATTGTGTATTAGGAGGCGTCCGCATTACTTACCCCTCGCCCAGTAGTGTGCACGCGGAAAATTATGAAAACCGACAGGAATGTATCAAATCGGTGCTGCAACTGAATATTTTCAATATATTTGTGTGTTTCTTCCAACTGAATATGTATATTCCAATATTTCGAATTCAATTGGACAGAATCCCTGAGTTTAAACCAGATGAAATGAACCACCCAATTGGTTCCGGGCAATAGAAATGGCGGAGCGTCTGATTGTCAGAGTTGATTATCACGCATATCGATTCACAATTCAAAGTATCCGAAGTTACGTTCATCAGATGCTAAGACATATTGTGTTGTGTTGTAATCCTAACACTTTTCGGTATGCCGTCAGTCTTAATGATGTTGGTATCCGTTGTTATGTACACCTCAGTAAAGCATTCGACTTTGTAATCCACTCCCTCCTAGCACAAAAACTTGACCTTTTTGGGGTACCGCCCAACCTCATGATTTTGAATTGCAGCTACCTTTGTTTCAGGTTTTAAGGGGTTCTCTTCACAGACTCCCTCTCTTCACCAGCTAAGGTTACTTCTGGAGAACCACAATCGGTTCTGTAATATCGCATCAAGCGCCTCTCGGTCTGCGTGATGAGAACTGCGTTCCTGCCGGGATCTGTTCTTAACAGGCTTCGCCTTGGTGTGGCATAATCCACATGGGTTACACATCAACGTCCAAATATATTCATCAGTTGTCGTGTCCTGTATAAGGAACTGCTCGTCTATTGTAATTTTGTTTTGATTGAGTGTTGAAAATGGTTACTGCGAAGGGACTTAGATCTTTAAACGGTTGGAATTCGTGCTACCACCTAAAGCGCTGTCCAGGTTATATGGAGTACAGGCATACCTTATAATTATTTCCACACTTGTTAGATAATTTCCACTTATTGCAAGTATTCTCATAGATTGTGGAGGATTGGCAAAGCTGCAAGAGCTGTAATTTAGCAGAGCTACAATTAATGCACTTCGACGACGGAACAGGGAAGTTTGTAAAGTATTGTGAAAGCGGAGGACTCTTGATTTATTCTTTTAATTTCAGCTCAATCAACCCACTGAAAATAACCACTTATTTGGATTCCTAGCTGCAGGACCCCATTAACTGCAGCGATGTGTTGGACTATATATAAGCCGGTTGGAAGTGTGGTCCTAGAGAACATTGCAGTAAGCCACGATGAAGAACACCGAGCCGAGGAAACCGATCAAGATGGAGGACTTTCTGCGGCCGCAAATGTTCCAGCAGTGGACCCGGATGGTGCACTTCGCCTGGAAGCGAGATGGGTCCAATCGTCTGGTAAAATCATCCTCGATTGGCTTCTGGATATCAGCGGTTTTAAATCTGGTGTTCTTTGCGTTCAACGGCTGGGACATTATCGGCCATCTGATGATGGGTGAGCCCACCAATCAGAACCCGCCCGTTTTCTGCATTACCATTTACTTTTCGATCCGGGGACTGATGCTCTTCTTGAAGCGTCGCGAGATCATCAACTTTGTCTACGCATTGGATCGGGAGTGCCCCGTAGACATTGACAAGCAGCATGAAATACGTCTGGAGCGCACTTACAGCTCTTTCTGGATGCGCTATCGGTTCCTGCGGGCATATGCTCATTTGGGATTGCCCATGTTCTGCTGTCTGCCGCTGGCCGTCTATCTGCTGACCAACGACGGCCTCGGGGCGCCTATCACCCAGCACCAGCAGCTGCTCGGCGGTTGGATGCCATTCGATCTGAGGAGGAACCCCAGATTCTACCTTTTGGTGTGGTTATTCGATGTGTCGTGCACTGCCTGTGGGGTCTCCTTTTTCCTGACCTTCGACAATCTGTTCAACGTGATGCAGGGACACCTGATAATGCATCTGAATCACCTCTGCAGGCAACTGGAGGCCATCGATCCCGCAGAAAGCCTGACCAATGAAGTTGAGTTCTTCGACGGTCTTAAGACTCTAGTTCAGCGCCAGCAGCTCCTGAATCGTTTGTGCGGCCAATACAATGACATCTTCAAGGTGGCCTTCTTGGTTAGCAACTTTATGGGGTCCGGATCGCTCTGCTTCTATCTATTCATGATCGCGGAGACGACGGATCTATTCATGATAATTCAGTACATTCTGCCCACTATGGTTCTAGTGGCCTTCACCTTTGAGATCTGTCTGCGCGGCACCCAGCTAGAGGAAGCGGTGAGCCATCTCATTGCATGCCAGCATGATATTCTGTGACCTCTTCCTTCCACAGTCTGCCCGCCTGGAGTCCTCGCTGAGACACCAGACCTGGTACATGGGCAGCAGGAGGTATCGCAAGTTCTTTCTTCTGTGGCTGCAGTACTCCCAGCGCACCCAGAAGCTCGGCGCCTTTGGATTGATCGAAATCAACATGGTGCACTTTACCGATGTGAGTAGATAAAGTCGAATATGGATTATTTTTATATATTTCCTTAATTTTCAGATCATGCAGTTGGCCTTCAGACTCTTCACATTTCTAAGATCGCAATAGGAAATTCATCTTTAATAACGGAATTCCATCAATTCTGTAGTGAAGTAAGTCCCAAGCAACACACACTGTTATCTTACCCTTATAGAGGGACCTGATTTGCAAAGCGAAGAAGAGTGTAATACCGATTCAATATGTTGTAGAAATTCTCAATATATCAGCCTCTCTTTAGGAGACTTTAACTTAGCCATATTCTTTTGTTTTTGGTTATTATTTCTTTGCTAATCCTTTAAGCTATCCATTCGTTTATTCATATAATCAAAGATACTTTTATAAGATGGTAATATATAATACAATAAGTAGGTAGAGCTTTTAAGCAAATCGTCTTCAAAGAGACCCGCGTGTAATCCTAACCCTTATTAACAACTATTCCTGAGCACCTCCAGTTCCAGTGGCTGGCATCATTCCTACGGATGCGGCCGCGTATGTGTATTCCTGGCCATACGCAGAGATGAACGTCGGGGGCCGCCTGCAGTTCCAGTGGCGAGTCGGGGCAGACGTGGATTTACAGGTGGGCCCATCACGCGATCGACAGGATCCGCTTGAATCTCAATGGGCGGCAAAGGAGAGGCCGGAGACCACTCCGAGCTAGAGCTGGAGCCTGGAGAATCGGATCTGTGTGAAATACAAAGGGATCATTCTACATACATTGAATTACAGATACGATTGGCCTGTTACCCCGCTGTGTAGATGGGCGGCAGCTTCTTCTCGTAGCTGCTGGTGCTAGGCGTTACGACGCCCGCATGGATTTCCTGCTGATAGAGGCCGTAGAGCTCTCGCAGCTCGTCCGGGAGGTCCACGTTTCCCTCCTCGATGAGCCGCCTCTGTGAACTGATGATGTCCTCGCACAGGCGCCGCTGCCTCTCGGCCCGGAGCAGCTGAAGGTCACGTCGTCGCAGCTCCGCCTGGCGGGCAAGTCTCTCCGCCTGCAGGGACACCTTGTCCGCCTCCAGCTCATGGACGCGACAGAGCAGGGCCAGCAGTTCCCGCTCCTCGTCGCTGCTGATGCGTTCCGGCAGCTCCTGAGATGTAGAGACAGTTAGAGTCTGCGGCGTAACTGATTCTGGGTGAACTTACGTCCTCCAGCTTGACGCCCTTTTGGCGACACTTCTCCAGTTCCTGCTCGGTGTGCTCGCGTATCTCCTTGTAGCGTCTGTTCTCCTTCTCAATGGCCGCCAGCTCGCCCCAGGCATTCTTCAGGGCCACCGAACCCTCGGATTCGACATCTGTACAGAAAAAATCAATCCTCTCTAAGCTAAGCAGTATCCAAGAATACTTACCATCCTCGCCCATTGCATCGTAGAGCTTGCCAATGCGTCCCTGCCAGTGGGAGATGATCATGTGCTGGCGCTCGGCATCCAGCTCTAGGCCCAGGAGGTGGCTCTCGGCCTCGAGAAGCTTGCGGCGTAGCTTCATTTGCTGCTTAAAGGTAAGCACAATCTGCTCCCGCAAGTACCGCAGCTCCGTCTTCCTTTGATCGTCCGGCTCCTCGACCTCGACTGGCGGTTGCTGGATGCTGGCTGTCGTCGCCATCGCCGTCGCCGTTGTTGTTGCCATTGCAGCCGCTGCTTTTCCGCTGCGTGGCCTATCGGTGAGCATTTTGGTGCGCAGGCGGGAGACTTCGTCGCGGAGCTCTGAGACCAGGCTCTGGTAGTGCTTGGTGGGGAAGTCCTTGAACTCGTCAATGTACACAGAGTTCTGCAGCTTGGTGGTAATGCTGTTGGCGCGATCCGCATACACGAGGGTGTTCTTCGTCTCGTCGCGGTGCTTGCTCTCGGGCGCCACGTGGGCAATCATGACTGTCTTGCAGCGACCGCTCAGGGCCTCCTTGAGCAGGCGTGTCAGCTTGGAGTCGCGATAGTTGACGTAGCGGGCGCCGCCGGACAGGGCGTTGATGCAGTTCCCCAGCGCCAGGAGGCTGCGGTTGATGTGGGCCCCCTCCTGGAGTCGCTTGCCACGGTTCTTGGTCTTCTTGGCACGCTCTGAGCCAGCCAGATCGGTGAGGAAGAGACGCCCCTGCTTGGTGCCCAGCGGAGTGCGCGTCTGAACCGTGATACTGAGCAGGGCGTGGCTGCGGGAGGAGGTCTGGTTGGCGGCCGTTGGCTCCATGGTCCGGGCCTTGTTACCTTTCATCAGAAGGCCCACCACCTCCTTGCGGCTGGACGTGGTGATCTCCGACAGACCGGCCACCGTGATCCGCTGTCCGCGATTATCTTCGCGCAGCTCCAGCGGTCCTCCCGGATTGAGCAGATCGCGGATGAGCTCGTTGTAGATCTCTAGATACGAGATGGAGACCTTGCAAGCCTCCTCCTCCTCCACGGACTCGATGTGCGCAAAGATGTCCTCGATAGCGCGCACCATCAGCCCGATGTCCTGGCTGCTCACATCCGCCTCGCACCCGGAGGCAGCAGTGGGCGGGGCACGGTCACTCGTCGCCGGCTTCTTGCGCGGCACAGGGCCGAGCATGGTGTGCGTCTTACCGGATCCGGTGGCTCCGTAGGCGAACACGGCCGCATTGAAGCCGCTGAGCACATCTCGCACCAGCGGCGCCGTGGTCGTCTTGTACACCTGCTCCTGTGTATCGTTCTCCCGGAACACATGGTCGTAGGAGTATTGCCGCGGACGATTCTTGCTGCCATCGTCGTACAGCAGCGATCCACCGGAGATCACGTCGATACAGCGCTCAGCGGCCTCCAAACTGGGACGTACTCGAACTGCCACCTAACAACAGATTCCGGATTAGGGATTGCTTGTGAGGCGATGTGGACATCTCGTCCTCCTCCGACTTACCACTAGACGCTCATCTTGCGCGGCTTGTGCCGTTGCAATGGCTCGACCTTGGGAGGATGTGCTTCCTCCACTACTGCCCGACCAACTGCCAGCTCCCGCACTGGCTGCCATGTCCAATTGATGGTGGTCAGTGGTCGAATGTCCCTTGATGGACACGTGCCGCCTGGCCTGGCTGATGACCTGCCTGCTGCCGGGGATGGGAACCAACAAAACCATTACAAATTGTGTCAATTTGTTGTCAACAATCGTAAAAATGTCATCAGCCCGGCAACTCCCTCGCTGGCGCGCTGTCCTAATGGATTTGTAAATTTGCGCGCCAAGGTCCTGTCCCGAATGAGTTTGAAGTAAAGGGCTGGGTCACCTAAGAGTCCTTAAGGATCCTGCTTACCTCTAGACCAGTTGGCGTGAGCCATAAATCAAGCCGTGAACTTGAACACCCCCAAAGTCTCTGCGTGTCTTGGCATGCAAATCATTGAAGGTTTTTCCCAGGAGCGGGAACAAGAGTTCGATGTCAGGTCATCGAGTGGAGACTTTACTGTGTACTGGTACTCAATGAACTGGGGAAAGTTCCATGAACCTATCCCAAGGGTCTATAAACACCTTGAAGACTTTAGGGTGTAATAGCTTCTGGAAGGTTGTTCTGAAACCCCACCATGAGTTTCCGAATATAGTTTAGGGTTTTTCACACCCAAATATATCATGTTAGTTTCAAGGCAACGCTATCAAGGTACTGTACTCAGGGACAAGAAAGGACCAAAGAGGTTTCAATGAACTTAAAAGTATTAGGGGACTATTAGGTTCTAAAATATAGGTTTGTTTTAATCCCCCTGAAAGATTAGTCTTCTTTTATCGTCCTGTTAGACTTTTCTCTTCCCCAAATACCGCGAACGATTTGTGACACTCAAATGAATACCCACATATATTCGCATAGTTCTGGAACCATCCGGAGTCTTCTTGTGGCGACTGTACTCAATGAAAGATGGAATCCCTTGTGATCCAGAATCTACTTTCCGACTACAGTTCTTCTATCATTTTATCCACTAGATTGGCTGTTGCAAAACCCATTTACCTATCAATTCAGGCTACGTGCTAACGTCTGACCCTCAACCAACTGTCGCTTCAGCCCTACCCATCCCATAACTATTTAATTTAGTTGAAAGCTGCTTAATTATAAAACGTGTGTGACCATCGAAGTTGTGTGGTGTCAAGTGAAATACATTATTAACTTTAATGCCATGTCCGGTGGTTGGCAGTAATATGAATATGTCATGTAACAGCCCAGAAAGCATCCGCGGCGCGTCACTTTCTCCTCAAATATGTACACAAATTACAGGCCTCGAGTGTCAACAAAAGGACATGGGCATGGCTGGGGCTCGAGTAGGGGACACTCTTCAGGGATTGCTCCGATCAATAGAGAACGTCAAACGATGAGGGACTCCGCCGCAACTAATTTGATAATACTACGTAAAATCGATTCAAATACTTTAATGAGCGCCAACCCAATCCCACACAAAATCCTGCCCAACCCCCGAAAAGAGTCCAAAGCAAACCGCGAGTGGAGAGACCTCAACACCTTTCCCAGTTCTCGTTTCATATTCCACGTACATGACTGGCTTTTGTCGTTTATTGAATTTGTGTAAATTGCCAGCAGACACGACAGCCGGTGGACAGGCGGACTCCTGGCGGTCTTCTATGTGGAGGCAAATCGCTTGGAATGCGATTGGAGGTTGAGTGGTTAGATGGTTGGATAGGGGGCTACGTGGTTTGCTTTGTCTTCGTTTGTGGCTAATGTTTTTAATGTTTTGGTATGGCGCGTTTTGATTTGCCTCTCTTTGTGGGCTACTGAACCCCCGATCCCCGACAATGAGGTGGTAATATTTGTATACCACATTCTGCCCCCGTTTTAGTTTTCTTTTTTTTCAACCATAGTGGAGCTCATTAGTGGACATCGGGAGTGGGAATTGGAGCAGAGGAGGAGTGGGGATTTGAGTGCCTTTTATGAGGGGGAACCACTATTCAACTGGGTTCAGAGTCCTACCGCAGGGGGGAATTCCCGACTTTTTGTGGTGAGGCACAGTTCCAACGCATCAATCGTAGATAAGTAATAACGTGTGGCAAAGACTCTTTATGGTTAATGATTTTGACAGGCCTCCTAACGAGCCAAACAATGAAAAGCCTTTTGGAAAATAAGGGACCCTAGACTGACTGACAGACAGACAAAGGTTTTCAAGGTAAATACGGGCTTTAGATAGAGATCCTATTGGAAAAAGGGGTACTGAAACGTTGAAAATTAATTGAAATATTGTCTCAGCAAGGATCAGTACCTATAATAACCCATTAAATAAAAATTATCAATACTGTTTTAGTCTAAAACCCCATCTGGACCCCAATTATGCTAAATAAAGAACAGTGGGAATCCCTTCATATTTCTCTAAACATGTTCGGAACTTATACAAAACTAGTACAATGAAAGTACAATGAAAGTATTTCAGTGCTCCGATTAAATGTCTCTAGAGGTTTCTAAGAAAAACAGCTATAAAATGGAGGCTTTTTACGATAGAAACGAGAGATTGCCGCAACCAATTCATAGAAACTGTTGATTATTTCTGTACATACATATATGTATAAGTGTAGGACCTATAAGAACCAAGACTAATCAGATTAAGCGAATGTTTCGACTGTAACTATTGACTAACGGATCCAAGAAATATGTTTCCAAGGCTAAAACAAGCTTCAGATAGGCATCAGAATAACAAATCAATGGAATCCATCTATATTGATACGGAAAAGTAAAATACCTATAAGAACCTAGTCAAATGTGTTTCAGTGTCTTCATGGATTTACAGACACAACAGACATGATTCCAAGCCAAACAAAGATTGTAGACAGAACAACAAACGTTGACAAATCGCTGGAGCCGTTGTTTTAGGCTTCGAGCGCCGAATGCTCCTCTGCCTCTACCTCGTATATGAACCAAGACTAATCACGGTTTAACCAAAGTTGCCCAAAGGCTTAGACTGTAATTACCCTCGGGGGAACGTTGCGTATACATAGCAGGCTTGTGATTGATGGCCAGGATTGACTTAATTACCCGAAAGCCATTTCTCTAGGTACCTCCCACCATGGCTATTTTTAGGCACCTCATCAGGTAAAGTGACCAGCCCCCTGGCTGTTGCATTTCCAGCTTAAATGACGTCATGCAAGTGCGAAAACTTTAACCTTCATTAGGTTTTGGGGTAAAACATGAAAACGTGTGGTGTGTAGGGAAATGCTGTGCGTGATAAAGTCTCAAGAACTTGGCCAATAAGTGGGCCAACTTGTCCGCATTGTTTGTACACACAGTCAGGCCGAAAAGTATTCGCATATCTCACACATTCGGCACACAACAAAATGGCCAGTGGCTGGCTACGAGACTGGGGAGGGGGTGCTGGCCCCAATATCTGACATGAAATAATGTAATATTTTACAGTTGAGCTGAAAGCAAATGCGATTCGAGGATAAGGCAACCCCCAAGTAGGTCAATTAAATGCGGTTCCTGCAGAGCCCCCTTCCCCCATTCCTGAAACATGCTCTCGTATTGCAGAACTCAAAGATCGATTATATAAAGAAAACATTTGATAACAACTTCTGAAGCACCTCTGCAAAATGGCGCACTTACAAATAGTTTTGTTTCGTTATATCCGCTGTGTTCTTTGCTGTGTCACTGCACCCGAAAACCAAAGAAACTTTACCGTCAAAAAGTTTAAAAACGGAAGAAAAAACTGAACCGGTGAACGGACGAATCGGTTGGGGGTCGGACTAAAAAAAAAACTTCCGAGTTACAACCGGCTTGAACCTTCCGCGACGACGGACAACACTCAACTGGTCAGAAATAACGAAATTATAGGCATAGCAGGACGTATCCTGGCCCGAGCCCAAGCCTTGGGTTGGGTGGGGTGGGAGAGATGGCACGGTACAATCAATTTTTGTTGTTCCTTGTGGGGGGTTGGGTTCCTTTCGGTTGTTTTTCGTTTGTGAATTGTTGAAATGCTAATGCGCCATTTTGCATACATTTCAGGTGGAGTTTGAGCAGCAGTTGGCCCTCGCATCGTGCGCTGGTCAAGTGTCGAATCCGAAGAACTATTTCTTGGGTTTTGTTGAGGTCCACTTTAATAATTGTCGACAAATAAGTAAGGCATTCTCGCGAGGCTTAGCACATTTTATGCAAATCACTCTAACACAAGCCTCTGTCGGACGGCACGTCGAAATGGTGAGGCATTTCCGCCACGTCAACTTCTACTATTCCCTCAAATAATAAATGAGTGCTTTTTTCCGAGTTCATTTCATTTCCTTGATGCGAACTTAAAGTTTTCTCTGGGAAAACAGGACAAGACATTGAAATGTTTATGGAGCAGCATGTCGATGTCGATGGGGGAATGATTATGATTGATTGATTGACTGATTCGGTCGAGCGGCCTAAATAAAAGAGTGTTGGCCTACCTATAGTACACCCATCCATCCATCCAGTTGTGGGAGTGAGTGGAGGATGGATGGATGGATGGAGGGATGCATGTCGAAGGACTTGCATTTGCATTTCACTTTTTGGCAGGGCCTCCCTCCAATTAAGAAATTTTCCTTTATGGGCACACACACGTGAAGGTCAAGAAAAATTACACGGTCAAGAGTACAAGGACTGGCGCGGTCTAGTAATTGAAATTTTTATTAGCTATTATTCATACGAATACGAATTACGAGTACGAGTACATGGTAGAGCGTGTTGCATATTGTGTATAGATTTGATTTGATTCCGTTTTCGGGCAATTCCATTTCCATTTCGACTAAATATATAATTGCAAACAATATTCACGTTGCGGTTCGTAAAAGTGCAGACAAAGGCAAAAGAAATTGCAAACGCAAACGAATACGAAATATCTAACGAATTAAATGCTAACTGAAATTTTTATAACCTACGGCATTATTGCTGGATGGATGGGGGGATTAAAGGGGATAATGATCCAAGCGGAAGGCAAACAAACAAAGAAAAATCGCTTGACAAAACTGTGGGCAAATATTTGGATTGGCTTTCCACGGATGCGGGCCGGGGGTGGACAGGACACGAATTCGTCTAGATATAGGATTCGAATGTCTTTCGTTATTAATCATTAACTTGCTTTTTGCAATATTTTCTGCTACTAAAGTGTAAATAGTTTGAGTTGGCAGCAAACGCGCTCTCAGAGCTCTGCTAAATGCGGTCCAAATGTACTCCGAATCCCTCTTCGATCTCCCATTCGGAAATTCGGAATGTGGACAATGGATCCTGTGCTTGGTATTAGACTAAATGCAGCTTGAGGCTGATTTCTGAAGAGTCTGACAATGGAATACTTGCTCTCGCCTTGTGCCTAGTGTTTGTGTGTATGTATGTGGGTGTAATTGTATAATTGTCCTTATCAAAATATGCTCAAAATCGTTATCGTCATTGTCAAACGAGTCTGTGCCGGTCTTTAGCTTCCAAAAGAAATCGCAAAGAGTTTAGTAAAGTCTCGAGTTTTCTTTTGGGAACGGCTGAAGACGGGAACAGACCAGATAATGCAGATTATTGTAATGGTTGGCATGTTTTTAGAATACGAAGCAGCCGCAGCAGCTCTAATTAGACGCAGGGCTCCACATAGTTGCCCGGAAAGAGGCCGGTCACGCCATCCATGACGCCCTCCCACCAGCCATCGTCGTTCTTCTTGAGCACATACAGCACCGAGCTCTCCTGGAAGCTGAGCTCATCATCCTTGTCCGCATAGTAGTCATAGATGGCCACCACTGAAAGTTATTCAATAAATATTATGTTCTACGGTGACCCACACGCAGGGATAGCCTTACCCTTTTCAATAAAGTTCTTGGGCACCCAGCCAGGTAAATTTTGATCCTCGGGCACAATGGGCGCCAGTTGGGGGCCCGTCGAGGTGCGTGGCCTGCCAAAGTCCTGGTGCTCATCCTCTGGCGGCGGCGGTGGCGGCAAAGGCGGTGACTGCGAGCCCGGACGTGCGAAATTCAAGCTGAAATGATTCCTGTGCAAAGTCAAGGGTTAATCAAGTGCTGCGGATATATGTGGAACATAGAGAAGTAACATGCAATTTACCGATTCGGATTCCTTGGATGTTGCATAGAGAACAATGAAATGAGTTACATATACAGGCAGATGCAGGGGATGCGGTTGCGGGATGCGACTTACCTGTTGATATTGCGACCCAGCGTATGCATTCCGATGTGGCTCTGCTCGGTCATCTCGTGCTGCGACACCGTCAGCGGCGATGGAGGAGCTGCTAAGTATCAAGAAGCGATTATTAGCCTTCGCTGGGGGCATCACTTCAAGCTAACTCACGTGGCATACTGCTCCTGTCGTCGTAGGTGGTAGGCGGCGGCGGTGGCAGAGATTGCATCATGCCCGCCGAGGGTAGATTCACATGCGTGGCTATCTGCTGGCTTGGGGGCATGGGCAGCGCACTGTATCCCGCGGCACGCTCATTGCCCGCAGCTCCTCCGCCCATGGTGGTGGTGGTCATAGTGGTGCTGGACGAGGCCGTAGACATGCGCTTCGGATGCCCGATCGGATAGTTGGGAGCGTAGTGCGAGGGCACTTGCGGCGGATTGACCACCGGCGGAGTGCGGTACTCCCGTGAGCTCTTGCCCAGCGTCCCGGTATTGCTCACCGACTTGCCCAGGGTGCCCGTGTTGCCCGCACGCGACATTTGCGGCGGTGTCGGGGGCTTGGTGGTGGGCGGCGGACCCACCGAAGGCGGTATAAGGGATTGCACAGACCCGTGGCTGGAGCCGCGGTGCTTCTGACGCACCTGGTGCTGGGCAGAGTTGATGCCATGCCCTATCTCGTCCAGAATCGAGTAGTCGATCGGTTTGCGCACATACTTGATGGGCTTCTCCGGATTGATCGGAGCCACAATCTTGAATTGCCGCGAACTCACCTTGTTGGCAGTCAAGACGCCAATTTCCCTGGAAAGAAAGTTTGAATATCAAACAGAACACAGGGGAGACACCGCGCTTACCTCCTGGCCACCTTCTCCTTGTGAATATGCACCGTCTGGGCGATGTGATTCATCTGCGACTCCATCTCGCTGAGCTGCTGTGCCTGCAGCTCGAGGAGCTGCATGTAGCTGTAGGCCAGGGTGTTGATCTGGTAGGCGACGCTGGCCAGCGATTGGGTGGTGTAGTTCTTGGTGGCCTCCAGAGCCCCCTTCTTGTTGTCCGCCCGGTAGTAGGTGTCCTCGCAGTAGTCGGCCACCCGCTCGAGATTGGTGTAGCTGTCTCGCAGGCTCTGGCGGCCGTCGGGGATCTCGGTGCGTATCAAAGATGCTAGTTCGTCCATTATGTTGTCACTGGCCATGGGGGCTTCGGTTAACATGGGTGTGGATGCTGTCCAAAGAGGAAAAACTATCAGCTTTACTTCGTTTTTCACGGCATGTAAACATTTGGGGCGGTGACTGGCCTCTGCTGACGTCGGCAGCGACTGCGAATGCTTCACCAGCGACAGAGCTGCTCTCTGATTACCCACCAGACCGTGGATAAACGCCGAACCTAATTACTACTCACTTTATTTACTATGCGATTGCACTATAAATGCTTTTTTGTGTCGATTTGGTCGCGTTAAATGCAATTAAATGCAGTTTTTCTTTACATTTTACCAAGCGCAGCGTGAGTTAGCTGGAGAAACATCGATTACACTATCGAGCTGCTATCGATGGTGGCCCTGCACTATCGTTGCGTATATTATGAATATGCCCGTACGGTATTTTCATACCAAACCTTTGGTCCCACTAGGCGGTTGTGAGTAATAATCTCTTTCGATACAATTGGATTTATTTTTTTAAATGTCTCATCAAACGGGTATTCGAGGTTAGTTCTTATCTATACGCAAATTAAAAGCAAGGCTAACATTCCTTTGTGCTTCCGCAGCTAACGAGCAACTGGCAAAGGTGCTTGGAAAGGCCAAAAACGGGAAATTGCGGGTGGTAAAAGTATCCATAGAGAATGGTGAGTGGAATCTACTTATACACACTATGTATACTGTGTATCCAGTGATAAGCACACGGCTTCCGGCCTCTCTTCCGCCCCCACAGAGCAGCTCAGCTGTAGCGCCACAGCTGATGTGAAGAAGGATTGGGAGCGCGACTACGATAAGCTATTGGGGCCGCTGCTGGAGGAGACTGTGCCCTGCTACATATTGTACCGGCTAGACGCAAAGATACCGCTGGGCCACAGCTGGCTGCTGATCAGCTGGATCCCGGACACGGCCAGCATCCGGCAGAAGATGGTGTATGCCTCCACCAAGGCCACACTCAAGACGGAGTTCGGCTCCGCGTACATCACAGAGGAGCTGCACGCCACCACTTTGGAGGAGACCACGCTGGAGGGCTACCGCAAGCACAAGCGGGACTTTGCTGCTCCCGCACCGCTGACCACGCGCGAAGAAGAGCTCAAGGAGCTGCGCAAGACAGAGGTGCACACCGAAATCAGCACGAACACACGGCACCAGACGCTTGGAGGTATCTCCTGCCCCCTGACGGACGCCACGGTGGCCTCTGTACAGGATCTGGTGCGTGGCAACTACGACTACTTGCAGTTTCGCATCGATCTGGAGGAGGAGCGCATCCATGTGTCCCATGCGGCCCAGGTAGAGCTCTCCGCTCTGCCCAAGCAGGTGCCAGAGGATCATGCCCGCTACCATCTGTTCCTGTTCCGGCACACTCACGAGGGGGACTACCAGGAGTCGTATGTGTTTGTCTACTCCATGCCCGGATACACGTGCTCAGTGCGCGAGCGCATGATGTACTCCAGCTGCAAGGCGCCGTTCCTCGAGCAGCTGGCGGCCCTGGGAGTCGATGTGGTTAAGAAGGTATGTGGAAAGGTCTGCCATTCCGATTCCTCGGCTAATTTTATGCTCCTTCAGCTGGAAATCGACAACGGTAACGAGCTGACTGAAGCCTACCTGCTGGACGAACTGCATCCAAAAAAGATATTGCATCGTCCGGCATTTGCCAAGCCCAAGGGCCCACCGAATCGGGGCGCCAAGCGCCTCACGCGTCCCTCCAATGAAGACCAAGTCTGAATCGAAATCCCCACCGAGTCAATGCTCTTCTGCACCTTCTACTTTCAGTTTCCTAGCAAAGCATTTAATTTATTTCATATTACATGTATGCATGTCTTCTCTTCTTTATGTTGTGTCTTCCGTATCCAAGTCTTTACTGTCCTGAATCGTATCCAAATCCTTAGTTGCACTAGGCACCAACTGAAACAACGCATAGCAGCAGCCATTGTGGGCTTCCTTAAATGTATTTCTGTCTAACTTTAAATGGACATATATGCAATTTATTTAAATTAAACTCTGATCTAAGTCTACATTTTGTACACTTTTTACTTAACGGAGTCCAGGGATACCTCTTCGGACACACGATTGTCGTGGGCCTTGAACAGCTCGGGGTGTTCGTCCTCTGACATCTTCTTGAATGCCGCCTGAATGTTGTCGTCGCGATTCACTCGCCACTTGTACTGCCAGTACCGCACCTCCTCCATGGATGTGCCCGAGGCCTTCATCAGCAGCAGAGAAGTCACGCCAGCAATGCCACCAAGGAAGCCACCGATAATGCCGCCAGCAGCCATGCCCCGAAGACCCAGATTCATTTTGTAGGTGGCACCAGTTAATGAGCCAGCGGCAAGGTATTCGTAAATGGAGGATTTGTCGCGATAAACTGAGATGCAGGTGATGATGCCACTAAAAGAGAGACAAATAGTCAGTTGGGATCTATTTTCAGTTCCTGCTTGAAGCACTCACAAGTAGGAGGTCGTGAAAAGACCCACACGCCAGCCCCATTTGAAGCCGCCTTTGGCGAAATTCACTGTGAACTGATCCTGCAGTTTTTTCTGTAATCAAAACTCAAAGCTATACGATTAGAGCGCTCAAAAGTGTAGGCCAGACACTCACCTTGGCATCAAAGTGGGATTTAAAGGCTGTGGCCTGATTGTTCTCCATAAAATTCATGTATCCCACCCGCGATTGTGTAACGCCGCCGTAGATCGCTCCAATGAGGAAGCCCAGGAACCCGGCCTGGTAAATGGAGTTTAGCTCCGAGGATATGCTGCCAAATTCACTGTTTAACCATGGATAGTTATCATTAGTCCTGGAACAGTTCTTATTATCCACATTTTACTCACTCAATCGTAAACATATGCTTCAGGCGCTCGAGTCCGGTTTCATTTGGCGGTTTGCTGGCCAAATAGGCTTTGTATGTTTTGTTCTCCTTGTCGACGATGTCGTCGGGAGAGTCCTGTATGGCCGGCAGAATGCCGGCAATCAGAAACCGGCCGCCTTTTCTTAAAAAACTCATTCGAAAATATTATCGCCGTTGAATAACAAGAAAAACATGCGAAAGACCAGCTGTTGACCACCCTGGGGGAAATGAATGTTATAGAATTGTGAATACGTTTGTCTTCCAAGGCTCAGTAGGTATCAGGATCGACATAAATATATACAAGATACTAATAATGTACTTGAATATGTTTAAAGAATATCAATTTGAGAAAAGGTTTTAATAAATTACGTTTGATCTTCATATAAAATTAGCGAAATAGGGTGTACAAAGGGCTATACACGCATCACGTCTTCAAATACCAGCAACTTTGAGACTGTTTTTTTTTGTTGAACTATTTTGTTTAACCCAGTTTTTACAATAAAAGCAAGGATTAAAAACTATCCAATCTTGTAGAAAATTGATTCATCAATCGTATAAAACTATGATGGCATGGCTAAATGTTCTATATAGCTAGTAATATTCGACGGAATATTAAAAACGAGGAATATGTATAATATAACTCGAATTCGTCAGTATATTTACGGTATATTTTTAAAATGAGACGGTATATTTTGGTATATTTCTTCGTTCCAGACCGCATTTTTTATCGAAAAGTCCACGGTCACACTGACTATCGGCGGTTTTGACCATTTATTGTGAAATATTGTTTTTTAAGTTTTAAAATAAGATTAAGTCGATAAAGTACTATTTATTTATATGCTTTAAGTGCTATTGCACTCTAGCAAACTCGACAAAATGATGTACGACAACGAGGAAGGTGTGAAAAAAAGATGCCACAAGGCACGCTGTTGAGCAAAAAACTAACATGGCGGCATGGAGCACTGGCGCTCCGCTCGCGCTTTCCTTTGGTTTGTTACTAATAAACACATCATTGCAGAGCTGTTCGAGGAGGAGAATGCAGAGGAGATCTCCCACGAGTTGTGGCAGGAGGCCTGCTGGATCGTAATCAACGCGTACTTCGATGAGAAGGGTCTGGTGCGGCAGCAGCTGGACAGCTTCGATGAGTTCATTCAGATGTCTGTGCAGCGCATTGTGGAGGACTCACCGGCCATCGAGCTGCAGGCAGAGGCACAGCACACATCCGGGGAGGTGGAGACGCCGCCGAGATTCTCGCTTAAGTTCGAACAGATCTATCTGTCGAAGCCGACGCATTGGGAGAAGGATGGTTCGCCCAGTCCCATGATGCCGAACGAGGCGCGTCTGCGGAACCTCACCTACTCGGCCCCCCTGTACGTGGACATCACAAAGACAAAGAATGTGGAGGGCCTGGATCCCGTGGAGACGCAGCACCAGAAGACCTTCATCGGCAAGATTCCCATTATGCTGAGATCCACGTACTGCCTGCTCTCCCAGCTGACGGATCGTGATTTGACCGAGTTGAACGAGTGCCCGCTGGATCCCGGCGGCTACTTTATCATTAACGGCTCCGAGAAGGTGCTGATTGCCCAGGAGAAGATGGCCACAAACACCGTGTATGTTTTCAGCATGAAGGATGGCAAGTACGCCTTCAAGACAGAGATACGCTCCTGCCTGGAGCATAGCTCGCGACCCACATCCACGCTCTGGGTGAACATGATGGCCCGAGGCTCGCAGAACATCAAGAAATCCGCCATTGGCCAAAGGATCATCGCCATCCTGCCGTACATTAAGCAGGAGATACCCATTATGATTGTGTTCCGTGCCCTGGGATTCGTGGCCGATCGCGACATCCTCGAGCACATCATCTACGATTTTGACGATCCGGAGATGATGGAAATGGTGAAGCCATCTCTGGACGAGGCCTTCGTGGTGCAGGAGCAAAACGTGGCCCTCAACTTCATCGGAGCGCGAGGCGCCCGGCCCGGCGTGACGAAGGACAAGCGTATAAAGTACGCCAAGGAGATCCTGCAGAAGGAAATGCTGCCTCATGTGGGCGTCTCCGATTTCTGCGAAACAAAGAAAGCGTATTTCCTCGGCTACATGGTGCACCGGCTGCTGCTGGCTTCGCTGGGTCGCCGAGAGCTGGACGATCGCGATCATTACGGCAACAAGCGCCTGGATCTGGCCGGACCCCTCCTGGCCTTCCTCTTCCGCGGCCTCTTCAAGAACCTGATGAAGGAGGTGCGAATGTACACACAGAAGTTCATCGATCGTGGAAAGGACTTCAATCTGGAGCTGGCCATCAAGACGAACATTATCACCGACGGCCTGCGCTACTCCCTGGCCACCGGCAACTGGGGCGACCAGAAGAAGGCCCATCAAGCGCGTGCAGGCGTCTCCCAGGTGCTGAACCGGCTCACCTTCGCCTCCACCCTATCCCATCTGCGTCGCGTTAACTCGCCCATCGGTCGCGACGGAAAGCTGGCAAAACCCCGCCAGCTCCACAACACGCTCTGGGGCATGCTGTGTCCCGCCGAGACTCCGGAGGGAGCCGCCGTCGGTTTGGTCAAGAATCTGGCTCTGATGGCCTACATATCCGTGGGCTCACAGCCGTCGCCCATTCTGGAGTTCTTGGAGGAGTGGTCCATGGAGAATCTGGAGGAGATTGCACCCTCGGCGATTGCGGATGCCACCAAAATCTTTGTTAACGGCTGCTGGGTGGGCATCCATCGGGATCCCGAGCAGCTGATGGCCACGCTCAGAAAACTGCGTCGCCAGATGGACATTATCGTGTCGGAGGTGTCAATGATCCGTGATATTCGCGACCGTGAGATTAGGATCTACACGGATGCGGGTCGCATCTGTCGGCCGCTGCTGATCGTGGAGAATGGATCGCTGCTGCTGAAGAAGACCCATGTGGAGATGTTAAAGGAGCGCGACTACAACAATTACAGCTGGCAGGTGCTGGTGGCCTCCGGCGTGGTGGAGTACATCGATACCCTTGAAGAGGAAACGGTCATGATCGCCATGTCGCCGTATGATCTGAAACAGGACAAGGACTATGCCTACTGTACGACCTACACCCACTGCGAGATTCATCCGGCCATGATCCTCGGCGTCTGCGCCTCCATTATACCCTTCCCCGATCACAACCAGAGTCCGCGTAACACCTATCAAAGTGCTATGGGTAAGGACTCCATTCCCTTCTGGAGTATGATTCCTACTCTTATACTCATACAATCCGCTTTCTACAGGCAAACAAGCTATGGGTGTGTACATCACCAACTTCCATGTGCGGATGGACACGCTGGCCCATGTTCTATACTATCCCATGAAGCCGCTCGTCACCACCCGATCCATGGAGTATCTGCGCTTCAGAGAGCTGCCCGCCGGTATCAATTCGATTGTGGCCATTCTCTGCTACACGGGCTACAACCAGGAGGATTCTGTCATCCTGAATGCCTCGGCGGTGGAGCGAGGATTCTTCCGGTCGGTGTTCTACCGGTCCTACAAGGATTCGGAGAACAAGCGTGTGGGCGATCAGGAGGAGAACTTTGAGAAACCCCATCGCGGCACCTGCCAGGGCATGAGGAATGCCCACTACGACAAACTGGACGACGACGGCATCATTGCCCCTGGCATTCGTGTCTCTGGCGACGATGTAGTGATTGGAAAGACCATCACCCTGCCGGAGAACGACGACGAGCTGGATAGCAACACCAAGAGGTTTGCCAAGCGAGATGCATCCACCTTCCTGCGTAACTCCGAGACGGGCATCGTGGACCAAGTGATGCTGACCCTCAACAGCGAGGGCTACAAGTTCTGCAAGATTCGAGTGCGCTCCGTGCGCATCCCACAGATCGGCGACAAGTTTGCCTCCCGTCACGGACAGAAGGGAACGTGTGGGATCCAGTATCGGCAGGAAGACATGCCCTTCACCTGCGAGGGACTGGCCCCCGATATCATCATCAATCCCCATGCCATCCCCTCTCGTATGACAATCGGGCATTTAATCGAGTGTCTGCAGGGCAAGCTGGGCTCCAACAAGGGGGAAATCGGTGATGCCACGCCCTTCAACGATGCCGTCAACGTGCAGAAGATCTCCACTTTCCTTCAGGAGTATGGCTACCATCTGCGTGGCAACGAAGTCATGTACAATGGCCACACAGGACGAAAGATCAATGCTCAGGTGAGTCACACAGGGAAATCCAGTTTTGAGCTCTCTTTCAATGGAAATCCTCCTCTGCTTAAGGTATTCTTGGGACCCACATACTACCAGCGCCTGAAGCATATGGTGGACGACAAGATCCATTCACGTGCCCGCGGCCCTGTCCAGATTCTAGTGCGACAGCCTATGGAGGGCAGAGCCCGTGACGGCGGCCTGCGTTTCGGTGAGATGGAGCGCGATTGCCAGATATCTCACGGTGCCGCCCAGTTCCTCAGGGAGCGTCTCTTCGAGGTCTCCGATCCGTATCGCGTCCACATATGCAACTTCTGCGGCCTGATCGCCATCGCCAATCTGCGCAACAACACGTTCGAGTGCAAGGGCTGCAAGAACAAGACGCAAATCTCCCAGGTGCGCCTTCCGTACGCGGCCAAGCTGCTCTTCCAGGAGCTGATGTCCATGAACATTGCGCCCCGTCTGATGGTCAACTGACAGAGCGCTCCTATTAATTGCCCTAAGCCCAAGATTGAAGAGCTCCTCCCAGCAGCTCCCATTAGCAGTTAATTATTAAATTACCATAATTGACACCCAATTTCTTTCTGTCTGACGGTCTCCATTGTCTCCCTTCGCGCAATTGGAGCGAATGCTTGTGCTGCATTTTAAAAACGCCCCCAGACGTGCCACAAGCCATCCGCCTACAATTATTTTTGGGCGAAAGTCTGACAAGAGTTCAAGAGTTTCAAACGGAATGTGATTTATTTATTTGCTTATTTCGCATTGTTTTCAATCGGGTATAAGGCCTATGCTGGAAGATTTGGGAAGTAATATGAGTATCAATAAATATTAAATATTCTAGATTCTGTGTACTAACATTATTTGATAATAGTGGAATTTTATACAGCGGTAGATAATGCCTTTGTATAGCGCTCGAGTAAATCAAAGAGACGTATCTTACAAATTGTGAGTGCTATGATTAGCAGGAGCCAGCTTTTCGATGTAAAACTAATCTTTGGGGTCTTTAGAGAAGTCTAGATGACAAATATACACCAAAGGATGTTGAGCTGTACTCTTATGGATTGGAAATGCAGAAGGTATCTTTTTAGATCAAGATAATTTTCTGCGATCCATATGCAAGCACAGTACTAGTGATACTAATGTACTCGTAGAACTCTTAAACAATGAATCCATGGGCCTTTCTTAAATTCAATATAAAAGTTTCACCTGCTTTGAGTGTATCCACAGTTCGACTTTGAGTAGGTAGCATTTCCATTTCGTTTTATGTTTTGTTATGCTTTTGTTGCTTTCTTTGATTTTGACGTAATGCTGTGGCCCGCGGTCTGTGACGCCCAATGACAAAAGGGATTAGTTCTTTGTTGCTGCCTGACGAAGCCGGAGCTGGAGATGGAAGTGGAGATGGAGGTGGAGGTAGAGCTGGGGCTGTGTCTGAAGAGAGGAGAGAGGAGGCTGGAGCTTTAGTTCGACGTGCGCCGAAGCCGCCAATTGAGTGACAGTTATTAATTGCCGCTTGACGTGGCTCCAGCCCCGACCAAGTTCATGTCTGAGCCGATGTTGATGCGAATGTTGATGCTGATGGCGATGGCGAAGGCGATGCTGACACCCATCATTCAGCAGACTGATCCGTGCGGGAGCGCCTTTGCCTTGTTTGATGAATAATTGAAATTGCGTGTAAATACTCACGCAAAGTGTCTCTGATAAGAGGTTCAGCCCCCAGCAGAACACAGAAGCAGCAACGAGAGCTGCACTTAAGGCGTCCTGAGGTATGGTATTTATTTATAGCGTCTTAAAAATAACTTAAATTACTGCTGTGCATCGTTAAGGTGCAGCGCATTCGCACCCCTCTACTTATGTATCTCCGTTGCGGAAAACACTGATGGCGTAGAACTCGGGCACTCTGTAGACCTTCAGACGCTCGTGACTGAAGCGCCCGTTGGTGCGGGCCTTCACGTAGAAGAAGTCCTTCAGGCCCAGCTCCTTGCGCTGCGAGGGTTTCTCCTCCTCCACAACGAGGCGCTGCTGCTTGGGCCGGTACCCGCTGGACTTGTCCTGCAGCAGCTTCACGAAAATAATGTCCCTGTCGTCGTTTCCTCCCAGGGTACGTGCCTGGTAGAGATTTGCTCGCTGCTGCGGATAGATGAGCAGCGGCTGGATGGGCAGCACTTGGCTGGGCGATGTGGGATAGGCCGCCAGTTCATCCAGTTCGTTGTCACTGAAGCGCAGAGCAGGAGCCGCCCAGGACGACTGAAGGGAGACCATCAGTAAGACAAGGCTAAGCGTGTTTCGAAGGAAAGGGCAGAGCTAGGGGGAGATAAGAGATAAAAGCTGTTAGAAAACTACTGGAGGTAAGAAAACTAAAAAGCTGAGGTGTTAGATCTTCAGAAGGGAAAGGTCCCTGTTAAGGTGATACATATGTTAACAATAAAGGAATTTGTAATTCAGAGATTCCCTAATGACGAAGAATACTTGAAGGAAACCCCCAAATGAATTTTCATTGAGTAAAAATCCAGAAAAAATAGAGGTGTAACCTTTATTGAAGCAAAAAGTGCCTATCAATGCGATTTATGGTCTGAAGAAACCTATAATCGATGCTCAACATTACTTAATACACTTTGGCGATAAATCGTGCCGAAAATAAAGAACCAAGTCGTAACTTTTAGTAGCGATAAAACAGCGATTTGCATATCTAATTATATCGACTTGATCTCCAGATCTGATTCAACTAATTGAGAAATGTGACCAACCGGAATCGGTTCCAGTCAAAACACACACTTTGATGGGGCAGGTGCTGGAATCTTAGATGATTCGACACTCTTTATGGATCGATTCTTGTCTTTGAATTACCGTTTCCATTGCGTTTGATAAATCACAGCTCAAGTTCGATCGACAAAAATCGAATTTGTGATATTGTAAGCGGCTTTGGTTCGCTTCTTTTTGTTTTGTATTATTTTTGGCACTCCTGCTCTTTCGGCCAATAAAAAGTAATATCACAGAAGTCGGAGGCGAAGGCGGAACGATCAAGCGCGACGTGCAAATGTCAGAGGCAGACTGGCGTGCGACAAGGCCAAGCGAACTTCATTTACCACCAAAGTCGGGCCTGAAGCTGTGGCTGAAGCTGAAGCTCAAGCAGAGGCAGAGGCGGACTCTGGATTCGGACGGGAGTTCTGGAGTTCCATGGAGTCACGAATGGCAGCAGCAGAGCTGTCAACAAATTGCAAACGTTGTGCAAACGCAACGCTAAAGATGGCCAAGAGCTGCTGCTGCTGGGGGATCACTCATTATTTGTGCTATTAATTGATCAGTAGGTCGGAGATCCGCACGGGTCAATGCTATCAGCATACAATATTTATCAATCAATTCGGTTTTAAGCTGCACGATGAGCTCAGGCTCGGTTCCAGGCTTACATTCGGCAGCTGCCGCCGGTAATTTTATGCTGTGATGTCAAATTTATTATTACTGCCTCTGTATGGTAAGCAAAATAAATATTGTAGGGAACAAAAAACACTCAGAGAGGTATATTTAGGCACGTAGAAATGCTTAATTAGCAAATATTTGCGCTGCCTTGAGTTTGGTAAAGAGTTTTGCACATTTGTTAGATAGTTTTACGAGTGTTTGTCTCTTTCCTTAACAAGTAATAATTGAATAATTTCTATGCTTAGTGGAGGGGCAGACGATCAAGATAAATACATTTTGTTTGCGGCTTCTACTGGTGCGGCAGCAGCTGCTGCTGCTGCTGCTGATGATTGCTGGCATATTAATCATACGCACCTTGGACCAGCTGCAAATCAATTACAAGCTCGACAACGAGAACCACCACTGCAGCAAATCTGCACGTTAAGGCAGCCCTAGAAATAAAGTTAAGTGAAATAAAACAAGAAAGGTGGGCTGGCTATACACACATTTCATCTGGTAAAAGTCATCATACCAACCTCAATGGTACCATAAAATAAATAACCAAGACTAATTGAAGTAACATAACAAGAGTTGTCAACAAGCGAAATTTAATCGCTTTAAATGTGAAATTATGGCCTAAATGGCAACGGCAAGAAAACAAACTTCCAAAGAAAATAACTACCGTTTGGACAACCCATCATCGCATAATCAAAACATTTTTTTCGCCCGATTTCGCTCGACCATAGATTCGTGACTGATTAATTGCAGCGCATCTGAAGGCAGAGCCGGAGAGTTGGAGAGACCTCTCCTCATTACTGCTGTGGGTGTCCGCACTTTGCATATTTGATTTGTACTTTCGTTTTGGACTCGTTTTCATTTTGATTTCATTCTTTTGGGCCAAGAAGCGTACGCTCTTAATGAGACCATTCGCATGCTGTCGGGGGAATCGTGTAAAAGTGGAATACTTAAGAGTATGTTGCTTGTTTCTACCTCTATCGCTACTGTTTACCAGAAAAAAGGGAAAGCTTTTCGATTCGATTTTAGAGGTGTCGGCATCGGTGTTTGTGGCGCCAGCATAGCCACAAATTGTGGTTTATGCGTCTGGCCAAAAGCCATAACCATACGCAATGGTATCGGCTTTTTGGAGCGGGGGAGGGAATCCCCATCGATGTGTGCTGTATACTGGAGTAACAGGTGTCGTATAACATTGCCAGCACTGAGGGATTTGCGGGGGGATTAGGTGGCCGTCAATGGGCGGAGATAAAGGCAAAGGTTAATCCGAAACTGCAAACAATGTGAGCAAATTTCATTCAAATAAAAATAATATGTCAGTGTACATACTGAGAACGAGAAGGGTATGGATAGGGGAGTGCGAAGAGGTTATTGAATTGGCTGTTTATAGTATTTTTTGTTTTATGCAAAACTTGTGGAAGAATGCCAAATATTGTATGTCAAAGAGCAATAAAACAATGTGCTGTTATATGAATTTATGAAATTAATGTAAAATAAGTGGAAGAATAGAAATACAGAATGCCAGATATTTTGTATGTTGTTAAAATGTCAAAGAGCAATGAAATAATGGTATATACATATATGTATGTACATATCATATATATGTTTTTTCCTGTTTTATCGTTTTGCTATTTTATATAATTTTTAACATAAACAGGAAGGCTTGACACATTGATTTTTATATTTATATTTATTTTGCATTTTATTAGTTTTGCTGATTTATATTTATTTACAACCTAATGAGAGGGAGTTAGGAAAGCGAATGGAACTGCTAATGTTTTCGTTAAATTTCGTGACAACATTTTGCCAATGGAATTCGTTAACAATTTTTTATATATTTCGCATATTTTCGCGAGTTTTTGTGCCAGTATCTTATGCAAGTTGTTGATGTTTGTGGCGTTATGTGTATTGTAAAGGGATTATATATCAGACACAAATGAAACAACATGCAAAAAATAGTACAAAATAAAACGTGGACACAACAAAAAGGGTACAATTTCATTCATTGAATATTAATCTTTAAAGTTTCAGTGAAACAAATAGTAAACCTTTAAAAGTCTCCCTTGGTAGCTGTTAACTTTTTCCCCGGTATCTGTTTCCATTTAAATCTTTAATTTTTAACACATCTATTGTCTGATGTGATGCATCATTATTCGCTTTAATCTGTCATAAACAATATTTTTCGTTTTAATCGCTGAAGCTTAAAAGCAATTAACTGCTCATTGGGAAATAAATAAACGAGATGAGGTTTTTTTACATTGCACACAAATTGTAAGTGTATTTTTTCTTTTGTGGATAATTTTGATTTCGGTTAAAGTGCAGAGTAATATAATAATCCCCGATGGCCAGATTTAAGCGGATATTTCAGTTTCACCACCTCTCGCCGTGGGGACTGTGCACTTTTTTCTTCGCACAATTTCCAAGCAGAGTGGAGGGAGCCTCATTAGCATTGTTAATTGATAATTGTGTGTGAGTGGTTGGAGGGGAGTGGGTGGGGTGGAGTCTGACAAAGAGAGACAGCTACAATTTATAACAGAATAATCATAATTCTATTGGGGAACAGACGAGAAGCATAGTCCTTTCCCTCCTTCTCTTTTTGTTATATTATTCATGTAAATGCGAATGTTTAATGTGTGTGTGTGTGTGTGTGTCGGGGAGCCTCTTCTCTGTCTATGGCTTTGTTCAAATAGGAAAAGCCAAAAGGTGCTTAACTATGAAATACGATGACAAGACAAACGGCGGAGCCCCAACAAGCGACGTTTGCTGCGCGTTTTTAATTACCATAATTACATAACTGCACACATATACTCTTACACTCCGTGCCAAACCCACCCCCCCACCCATACACGCACGCACGCACGCACACTGGAGAATGTGGTCCGCGCCTGAAAGTATGCAACACCGAGGTACATATTATAGATGGCATATTAAGTAGAAGGTAAGGCACCACTTTTGTCTATAAGGTATCTCTATCTGTAATGCCCAAGAGTGTATGTCCATATATCCCTGCAGTTCAGCATCCAAAACATATGTTAGTTCTCATACCTTACCTTCCATTTGAAATACCCTGTGACACCCTTCCACCTATCTACAAGATGGTCTGAGGCAAAGGGCCCTCTTAACTGTTGTTATCGCATAAACTTAAATAGTTTTTGCCAGCCACTTTGCGGCTTTTAAGTTATTTTGCGTGCACCACTTGAGTGAAGCACTTTTATTTTGGTAGAACAAGGGTTCAACTGGGCGCTCATGGGTCACATTCTGTGTGTGTGTGTTGAAGGGGTGTCTTATGGGATGGGACCCGACCCGGGCTTAGTTTGACTGTCTAACTGGCTCTGTTAATTAAATTGCAAGTCTTTCTGCCAGTGATACTCACACTCGCACGCTCGCACCTCTCAAACCCAATTCTTGCCCGCAAATTAAGTCAAAGTTTTCCATTTCCATTTACTGTCTGATGTCTCCCGCTGTCTGCTGCATAATTTCCACCACCCACTGCTGCTGGTGGTGGGGTTTTCTTTCTTGGGCTCGTCGCGTGGCAGCGGCGAAAACTTGGCTAAATGGTTTGCTATTAATTTTTCGTGGCATGTCGGTTATTAACCTGCCTCCTGTTTGCTACCTCTTCTGCTTGCTATTTTCTGCTTGGTATTGCACTCATATTTTTTTTTTTTTTTTTTTTTACAGTGGGCGTGAGTGTGCCGAGGGCGTGGCTGACACAGTTTGGGAATCAGAGCCAGAATCAGAGGTGGAATTGGTGTGGCGAAAACTAATTGAAAAATTACCAAGGTAAGACCGTAACGCCTTGAAATTGTAACATAAATTAGGAAGAAGGCATTGCATTTGGGGATTGTACGTATTATGGATATGGAATAAAATATGTAAGAATTATATGGGTCAGAATATGAGAGAAGAAGTTACATTTACGGAATCATTATACCTTCCTCCATCGTCAAAACCCTCTCCAACTCTATCTTTCTGGTCAGCAATTTGTTGCTTATTGACTGCTGTCTGGGACACGTAAATGCTTCTAGAATTGGCTTAATGGCCATCAATAAGTTGACGATTTAAATTGAATTTCGGTCACATCTTCCATTGTCGGACAATCGAAGTGCATTTTGGCTTTCATAAATAAATAAGATTGTTAAATTGTCCACGCTCCAGAGGCTTCAGGCTTATTCCCTTTGCAAAGGCAAGTCCGAGCCCCAATCCGGGTCTGTGGTTTCGTGTGCATGACTGCTCCGGCTACTGTCTGTGCCCCCATAGGCCCCCAGGCCACCTTCCGACCCCCCACTGCCCATTGTAAATGCGGCTCGACAATTTGTATGTTTGACCAACTTCCCCTGAACTCTGCCTCTTGTCTGTTTGTCACTTTCTGGCATTGGATTTGAATACGCTTTTGATGCTCATCACGTGGCCGGTCAAAAATTGACTCTGGTCGAAGTTAGAGGATGCTGGTTCAGGGTCCTGTTGGTCCCGACCACTCCGTGGATCAAAGGCGCATTTAAGCAGCTTACCGCAAAATGGAAAGCGATTGAAATTTTCATGAATTCCCATTGCCCCAAAAAGCGCACAGCACTCGTACCCTCCACAACAAAACTCGCTGGCATATGGTATTCCATTCACAGACTTGTTTGCCAACTTTCCGACCAACAATTAGTCGCTTTCCAAATGTTTTCCCGCCGAGCCATTAATTGAATTTCGCCCTCGGTTTGATTTTCAATCTTCCTGCGTTCCGCAAACTCAAGTTAAATGTGGCTAAAACCCAAACAACTGCAAACTACAGAAAAAATACCCCAATAGCGGAGCAGCAGAATCTCTCAACTTTGATTGCAAATTTCTTTGCCTTCATCGAAACAATTTGTAGCCGCCCCTCCCTTTCGCTCTCTAACATTGACTGTGCGTCTCGCCTTTCCACTCGTCGTTTTTCTAATTTTTCGTTGCATTTTTAGTCGGGTTTTCTTTTTTAACATTCTCTTCTATTTTTCTTTGCGTGTCTGCTTTTCCATGTCCAGGGGCGGACTGGGATGAGATGGGTGGGCCCATTTAATGACTTATTTATGGGGCATATTGGGTTTGGGGAAGTGCAAATTTGATCAATTAAATGATAAAGATATGAGATGAGGTTCTATCACGCTAACTAACTGAGCACTAACTATCATTCTGATTGCAGAGTGGAGTAAATGTAGACCACATGGTGGATACAGCATCGTCTTAGTTCCGATGTCTTCTATCCGTGATTGTGGGATATTTAGTGGATATTTTCAATCTTTCACTCAACCCAAACTTTAAAAGCCTGATTCCGCTCCTGGCCCCTGCATCATAGTCACTTTGCATTCCCCTGTTTTTCTATTTTCTGGATTTAGAGGGACCATTTTTTCGAGGAAAGCCGGAACTGGCAAAAGTGTTGCTTGCAAATGTTTACAGTTTAGTTGTGCGGATGTGATAAAAACAATTTGATTGCAAAATAAACTGCACAGCGCACTGGTCGGAAGGGAGAGAGTGTCAGATGTCCGGAGTGCGGGCAGAAGTGTAGCAGAGTTCTGTGAAAATTGATATAAAGAAAAATCTGTGATTGGTAGCAAAAGCAGAGAGCACTGAACCGGAATGCAGATGGGGAAATGTTTGATTGAGTCCGAGTTTGTATTGATTTTGGACATCGGTAGGCGGACGGCCCACTGAAAACGGAAATTCCCCCGAAAGGAAACAAGGAAACTGAATTTTTGCTTAAATCAAAGATACTCGTACATACATTTACTTTTGCAAAGCTGCAGCTCACTTTTGGCTCAAAATTTGATGGATGTTGGATGCTCGGGGCGTCTGATTCAGTTAGGCAATCATTCGATGGGTTAATTGGGTGGGTTTGTGGAGCTTTTTTGCAGTCTTCTACAGTGGTAAGTAAGGAAATTCCGACGGACATGATCCGATGAGAGAATGTGTGGACAGAAAGCAATTTCCTTTGCCTGAAATTTGATATTAATGGCAAAACATGTGCACTCCTTAAAAAACGAACAAATGAACCTCCATGAATCATGTCAGAACAGAATTTGATGTAAATACTTCGATACGTATGTTATAAACAGATATATGACTTCACTGCGGCTCACTATGTTTATTGACCTATCTCTATAAATATTTATCTTTCCTAATTGCTGCCTGACAGACCTATTTCTAGACCTATTCGAGAACTGACCTTACCTATTAATTAACCAAGCCAAGTCCAGTACTAGCTCAATTCAAAAATTGACTTAATTGAATAGCTTTCACTTTTGTAATACGATGATTATCATAGCCCGAATCAATTACGGAATTACCTGTGAATATAAATGTGTTTGTCAACTATTATGACATCTTTTATTGAATATATTAAATTAGTGGTTTAGCAACGAGTTTACCTTTAAGTACGTTTGTTTGCTTTCCTTCAGGTGACAGTACAATGAACCCTTTACTGCTAACAATATATGTACGTATGTATCTCCTTTCAACCATCATGAATGGTAAAGTACAAAGCGTCCTTTGGCTAAACCCCCTTCAGGTCAAATCTGTGTCAACTTTGGCCTGTTCCTCAGTCAGTCTGCCCGCCTGTTCGCCTGTCCGCCTGTCCGCCTGTCAGTGGGTGAGTTATGTGATTAATGGCCACAGCTTGGGGTCGGTCGGGCGACTTCTATGCGGTACTAATTACATAGAGCCGGGATAGCAAAACGGGCACAAAAAACTCATTAACGCACTTGCAACATGTCCTAAATATAATATTCATAATAGTTTCTCCATCGCTGTCTCTTGTAACCCCCCCCCCACTCCCTCTATCCCCTTCTCGTTGTCGCTGTCTTTGCTGTTGGAATATGCAAAAGTTCCCGAAAGCTGTAAAAAAGAGAGCTAAAACTAAAGTAGAAATAAAAACGTTCTGTATTTCGGCCAGAAGCGTAAACTTTTCTGTGAGTGTTGCCTTTATGCAAGTTCCGTATGAATGCGGGCACTGAATGATGTATGTATGTATGTGTGTCGGGAGGGGGGACTCATGACTCCACGTATTCGCATTACACATGAATGAGTGTTTTTGTGAATGTTGGTGTGGGGAAAGCGCATGTTTTACATGAATCACGGTTAGTTTCGGGATACTTTTGCGCTTTTCCGACCGGGCAATGTGTACATAAGCCACAAACGTGACAACAAAAATGCGGGCGCCCTCTTGGCCTTTCCTCTCGGTAAATATATGGTGTGCTTGTATGTGTGTACACGTGTGAAAAGTGACAAAAGCATTGACAGGACACAAAAACACAGATACAACTACAGATGCAAAACCAAGCGGTTGAAACGTTGGGAAGAACCAAAAAGAACCTTTACTGCGGCCAGGGATCATGGTCATGGTCGTATCGAGCAGATAAGATGAGGTTTCGAATGCGGATGCTCGGATGTGGATGTGGATGTGAATGCGCCAGCCAACTTTTATTGATGGCCAACCGCAAACTTTTTGGGGTCATTTCTCTTCTTGTTCAGGTCCTATTAGTGCTGTCTGATTGGGTTCCACCGCTGGAACTAGTTTTCAAATGAACTTTTTATAGGAAACTTAAGAGATCTGGTGACTTGGTAGATATTTGATTCATCTGACGGGAATTATTGGTGACAAATGATCTGCAGATCTATTCCCTCTTTTGTTATACTGTTCTCTAATTTCCATTGATCCATTTCCCGCAGCTCCACAGCAGAACCACTCAGCACTGTCGATATCTGATCTAGTCCCTATGGAGTCCACACCCGCATCCCCTGCCTCGTATTCCCGTATTCCTGCGTCTTGGGTTCTTTCGTGTGCTTAGCCAACTGTCAGGCGACTGTCAATTGTTAATTAAATGTATACCCTGGCCAGATGTTGCCCCCGAGTTCACTTGATTTGTTTAACCAAGCGACTGCCGGCGACTTCTCGCCTTGGGACCGGACCGGAGTGTTTATGTCAGCGACACACATCCACATCCACAGCCACAGCCACACACTCTCCAGACTTTTGTAGATACATTTATTGCCAAAGTTTCGTCCAATTTATGTAGGCTTTATGTTAATATTGTTATGGCCTTGACAGTTTTATTGCTCTGAACTAATAACTTAATTGACAATGCGGATGCACAGGTAGGCGGGGGGACGTGTGCGCGGTGCACCTGTTGTCCTGTAATCGTTGTAATTTATTCCCCGACCCAATTGACTCGAGTAAACGAGCCTCAATTAATGCTGCACAATTTGATTTATTGGTCTGTGAGCGCAATCAACAAATTATATGAGAGTTGGTTATCAAAGTGAAGCCTGAAAGTATGCAGCATATTTAAACAGTTTGCAGTTAACGGATGATTGTTCTGCTAGTTGTCCGACCTTCCAATTATGGCCAGAATGTCCATGAATATGTTAATTATATCCAAGTAAAGGTTCAAGGCCGCAAATATGTACTCTTCGGGGCTGATCGAGTAACGGTGGCCGCCACCCATCATCAGCTGTGTGTCGTAGATCAGGTACATGGAGAACAGAAAGGCGCTGACCGAAGCATAGATGAGGGTGAGCATGCTGCCACCCACAAACACAGCCACAAGCCCAAAGATCAGGAGGATCACCAGCAGTGTGATGAGGAGGCCTCCCATCATGGTAAAGTCGTACTTTGTCTGCATAGCGAACAGCGTGAGGGCCAGGCAGACGGCTGCCGTGATTCCCACGGCAATCAGGACCTCCGTGGGAGCAAAGCGACAGGCCGACACGCCCAGCAGCAGGGACTGGGCCACGGTGAAGCCCCCCAGGAAGATGAAGTTCATCGGTGTCTGGCGGCGTAGACTCTCGCTGCACACCAGCCCCAGCAGCGTGGCCAGCATCAAAAACAGGGCCACAATGAAGACCCACCTATTCTGCAGGGCGTACATCTTGACATTATCGTTGAATATGAAGATCGACACGGCCCCGAAGGTGGCCACCAGTTGGGCCATCAGTATAAGGTACACCTTGCGGATGAATCCCCGTCGGATGCTGCCATCGTTGAATCCTATGTTCTTCGGCTGGCCCTCGGGATCGCCAGAGCCGTACGATCCATACGGCTCCAAGGCCAAGAACTCCGCTTGAGATCCTCCCAGATTTCCGTACTGACTGCCGACTTGCATTGTTAGTTCTTGTTTTTTGTTCTGTGATCACAAATGTTGACTTGTTTTTAAAAGTATGTCCAGCTCGAGAGTTTGGAGATACTTCCAGGCTTGAACTGAAAACTCAAATAATTAAAGGAATCGAGGGGTGATTGAGAAGTCGGAGAAGGTTTGATTTGGCTTACAGCAGTCGTTGATACTTTCTAGTACAATAAATACAGAGCATGTGCATATTCCCACGAGGGAAAAACCATTCGCTTGAAGATGTGTCATCGTACTGCAGAGGCATATCTAGGCGAGATCTGTTCCCAGGTCTTAGCTACCAAACAAGATTTATTACTGTATTTGCGACGACCGACAGTGACAAAGCTTTTGACATAGAGACATATTTTCTTACTTTAAACAATGTAGGTATCTTCACTGCAGTATGGGACTTTCGATGACTCATCCCAACGTTCCCCCGGGATGTGCTCAGGGTGCAGAGCCTATAATATAATGCTTAATATATCATACAGCTTCATTTGCAGGATCGTCTGAATCACCAACGATGGCAGAGGAGACACGGCTGGAACCTTTTTTTTCACGTCTGATATGGTCCGTTCCATCGTTTGCCAAATCGATTCAATAGCATCGAAAGAATTTTGCATGAAATAGTATTTAACATACATACAAATTAATAAATATAATAATATTATCGCTCTTTCAAGGGTACGATTGAACGCTTGCAGACCCTCAGGCTGAAAGATGTGGAATTTTGCTCGAAAAACCACGTGATCGCCAAAGTCGACAAGGTGAAAATTGTGGCCTGCGAAAGCGAAGGAGGGAAACAAAAAACAGATATGAAGGCTCAATGAAGAAACAAAAAAAAAAAAAAACCAAAGTAAATGTGGTGAAATAAAGTAGATTTAATAACCAAACAAATAACCGTGCTTCAGCGTTAGACTACGTCAAAAAGAGAAAGAGGTCTTTGTATTTGCAGTGGGAGTTTTGGTTCGTTCTAGTACTTTCTTTCTTCTTGGTCTTCTTCTTATTATTTTTTCGTGTTATTCTAGTTTGGTTTGCGTTTTAAAGCAGCTACCAAGGATGCACTTCAGAAAATCGATGCCTTAGTATCGATTCCGTGAAGTCAGCCCTGAAAGAAATGCCTGGCATATGAAGCAAACGAGTCTGATCGGCCATACATATGAGGCTGAAATTTAACAAAAAAGGTGAAGAAAAAACGTGTTTTTCGGTTTAAAAAACGTTGTCCATTCCGTCAGTCTGTCTGTTGTCCGGAATTATTCGGAAGGCTTGTTTTTCCATTGATTGCTATGAACACACTATACATACACCCATACCAGCAACGAAAATTCTCCTGTCTCTGGAAATCCTAATCACTTTAATTCTAATCAATCCTAGGAGGATGAAGAATTTCAAATAAAATGTCTTTTCATTCCTTAAGCCCCACCTATGCGGCGCAGTAGCACACCTTCACATACATACATAAACACACTAGCACATGCTGCATCGTAAATCAAATTCAGTTTGAATTTTTGATGAATCATCCGTAAAAGTCATCCCTGAATTTTGACATCCATATGTAGCTTTTTTCAGCTTAATTCCTAGCCAAAAGCGAGCAGCTGCTGAAACAAATTTTAACAGAAGAGAAGAGAGATATGTATATACGCTATTTGTTTCCTATTTATTTTCCTAGTGATAAATTGTTGTAGTCTGAATGGGAAGAGAGCAAGACAGCTTCTTGCTGCAGAGGATACTGCAAGACGAATAAAATCTCACTTTTCCACTCGGTTCTCAGAAAATGAATGACTCGCAAAACGAGGATTCTGGCGGTGTTCACAAGCCAGGTCGATTTGGCGATGGTTCCGCCACGGAGTGAGCCAAGGTCGAGCCGGTGAATGGGATCGTGCAGCCGGTGATGATGCCGCCCCCCCATTGCAAGGGAAGGAACACAAATCTGTTGTTGAAACTAAAGACGGCTTTCGACATCCCGTGAACGCCATGAAGCAACGCATATATGACTACCAAGAAAAGATCCATAGGCCCATGGATCTGAATAACATCAGGAAACGACTGGAATACTCGTACTACTGGTGGGAGACGGATCTTCTAGAAGACATCAAATTAATTTGCGAGAACTGCAAGACCTACAATAGTCCGGATTTGCCCGGCGAAACCGCAGCACGAGGAGCAGCAAAGTGCTGCCAGGGCAAGGCTTCCTTGCAATCCTGGTCCGTATCGCCATCGCGGGCACAGATCAGCTGCGTTCCAGCTTTCCATCGTGTTTTTTGTCGGCCTCCAGTTCTACGAGGACTGGATCAAGCTCAATATTTAAGATAGTCCGGAATTTTGCTAATTGAACCGAATGCCGAAATCCCAAAGCCACAGGGATTGGGAGTCGACCTGACTCCTTTAGATTACGAGATCGGGCGCCGCCACAGCCAGAGTTTGCTCCGGTTTCTCCGTGCGAAGCGGGATTCTTGGCCATTCAACGACTCGCAGTATTGGGCGAAGTTTGGAGAAGATTTAGAATATGACCACTATGATGTGAGCCTGGCTCGGGGCATGTCGGATATGTTGGTGGCAGGGAAGCAGTGCGAGGGCTGGGACTAGTTCCTGAACAAGGTGCAACGGATGCTGGAGATCGCAATGCACTGCAACTATCTACAGAGTAATACCTCAATTTATGGAATGGATCGCATAAGCCAAAAAGTGAGGCGATGACACACTCTCAAAAAGCTGACCTCCTAAACATTTTATTAAAGAAATTTGAGTTGTATCGGTCAGAAAGTGACCTATCTTAATGTTTAGTTTCTCAGAGATAACTACCATAAAAAACAAAAGGTTTGAAGTGGCGGTCTATCCGCATCCGAATAACTTTGGCTTTACTAACTTCCTCTGCGAGAAGTTTTCCCTTACAATCTGCTATGTGAGTGGGTCAATAGTTTATGGCTTGATCTTAACTACCATCGGACTAACAAAAGCAACAACTACAACAGGTGTTGCTCACAGACTCCAAAACTCAGGCTGAATGCCACCATCTCCATATAGCCCTCTCACATTCGCTTCTGCGCCTTGACTTAATTCAGCAAAAAAATTGAGAGCTTTTTTTCGCCCAGTTTTGTTGGTTGGATGGAAGTGAAAATGCTTTTCAGTATTTTCAGTCCCAGCTCCTTTGTGGGTCTGGAGTGGCCGAAGGAACCGATGGAGGACTGCACTTGGCATTTTCTGATTGCCTAGCTGCCCATTTAGACGTAGTTTTACTGGCAACTAAAACCGGACACTCTACGCTCTACATAAAAAGCATTTATAATTCCCTAATTTGTGGTACGAATCTAGGGGAATCCTCCACACAAACTTTGTTGACAGTTGGACAAAATCTGGGTTGTTTTCCTTTTTGGTCGCATGTGGGGCCTGTCAATTGCTCCGAAATTTGCAAAGTGACGGTGTGCCCAGACACTTTTGTGCCACACATCAATCAAAATGCCTTTTAGTGGGGTCATGCCCCAGGACTCGGTCAGGACCTGACTCTAGCACGACACGTGTTGCTTTTTAAAGTGAATCAGGCCCAGACCCAGAGCCAGACCCATTCCCTTCTCATGCCCATCTTATGGAAAGCCCTGAGCTTTTGTCAAACAACTATCAACAAGTTTTCTTTTTGTCTCTTTTTTGATGTTTTATTTCTATTTTTTGGAGGGTAAGGATCTGAGCCCCAAGGCTGAAGTGCGTCACGTGTCAACCTAATCCACAAGGGTCGGGGACTGGGACTGGGCTAATGAAAACAGCCTTAGCCAAAACAGAACAGGGCCAAAAGCATGAGAATGGGAAACTTCTAAGACAGGGTGCGCCCACAGGGGCGTGGCTGACTGGCTGGCAGCCATCTATCAACACTTTCCAAACTTTAAATGAGTTTTCAAGCGACACAAAAAGTTTGGCCCGAGCCCCAAAAAAAAAGTAAAGCCAAAAACTAAAGAAATCGTAGCGTAGCAAGGAATGGCTGGCAGGAATGGCCACCAAGCGCAGTTGAACCACAAAATCGATGACAAAAGACCGAAAGCCAACAGCAAAATGTTGGCCAGAAGTTCAACAGAATCTCAAAAAAAGGCAAATGGAACACGAGCCAGTGATTCTGGCTTAACAAATACTTGCCCATAACGAGGTATCCAACAGCCAACAACGAACTCTGAACAACGACCAGTGTCCGGCACCAAAAAATATTAGGTTCATACACATAATGTGTTGTGTATACTTCTAGTAGGGGGTAGAGCCATTGCAATTTAATCTATGCAAATCCACAAGAAAAACTCATTTTGCGGATTTAAAGTTGATAAAAAGTACGCTGCAGCCCCAGCAGCAGCAGCAGCAGCAGCCCAAAAAAACCCACAAGAAATGTCGTTGACAATATCCGTGGTACTCCTCCGTACTCCTCCGTACTTGTGTATTCACCCACTCCAACATTCGTATTTATTTTATGGAGAACAACACTAACACTCCACTCCACTCGACTCCGTGCCGTTCCGTGTTTCGTGTGAATTTTATGCGGAGAGAAACTCAATTTTTCTCGAGTCGCGACTACCGAGCCCCATTTCCTTTATTTTATGCATTATTACGGAATATTTTATTTTCGCTCTGGTTTTATTTTCGCCAGTTTTTTTGTTTGCTTGTTTGTCATTGTTTAAATTTTTTCTCATTGCAGAGTCGGCTCCGGGTCCCAGTGCCCATCCTTAACCCTTTGTCGCGGTCATTAAAATTTACAATACGCCAAGGGCAAGAACCTCCAAGAGGGGCAACTGCAACAGCAGTCGTTGAGTCGCTATATTATTTCTGATGCAGTCAACGCTCCTGCTCGGAGCAACAATCAGTTTTTATTTTTGCAAAGTATTTCGGGCTATCTTTTGGTGCTGGTGATAACTAAAAACATCTCTGAGCTTTAAACTAAAGGATTGTTAAGTGGTTAAGGGGGCATTGAAAGTGATTAAAGAATAGATGTAACAAAGGGGTGGAGTTCCGGCTCCTGGCTTGATACACTGCTGGCATCCAGGAATACTAGCTGGGACAGAATGAATATTTGCTTACG